GGTCCGGGCTGGGGATTCGAACCCACCACCTTAGGTGTACGTGGCTGGCGCCTTAGCCGGTTGAGCTATAGGCACCGAGCCATGCCTCTTTTATTTTTATCAAGACTAAGTCTCACTTTGTCACCCTCTGTAGAGTGCTGTAGCATCACAGCTCACAACAACCTCAAACTTTTGGGCTTAAGCAATTCTCTTGCTTCAGCCTCCCAAGTAGCTGGGACTATAGGCACCTGCCACAATGTCCAGCTATTTTTTGGTTGCAGTTGTCATTGTTGTTTAGCAGGCCTGAGCCAGGCAGCCCACCAGCCTTATATGTGACTGGCACCCTGCTCCCTGAGCTACAGGCGCTGAGCCCATGCCTCCTTTTTTGACTAATAGTCTCCATATTGCTACCAGAGTGATCTTTCTAAAACAAATACCCAGGTATAATCTCAGTGGTCCTCCTTAACCCTCCTTCAGCAGCTCCCCTCCTTCTTTACCAGGGTTTCTCAGCCTTAGCACTGTTGAGCCTGAAGTCAGCTAATTCTTGGCTGTGGGGCTGTCCTGTCATTGCAGGATGTTTAGACACATCCCTGGCCTCTACCCACTAGTTGCCAGTGGCACCCCCCCACTTCCCAAACTAGTTGTGACAATCAGAAATGTCTCCAGCCCTTGACAAATGTCTCTGGGACTAAGGGGGGCAAAATTGTACCTGTTTGAGAACCACTGATCTACAGGATAAAAATCAAGCTTTTTAGCATGTATAGAAGCCCGTAAGTGATCTCCTCCTGCCTGCATCTCCCCTGTCATTTGTCCCCATATTTCCCGTTATGCTCCAGGTCTGCCCATTACCGTAGGGTTTCTTAAAACTGTTCATACTCTCTCTAACTCCCTTCTTTGCCCATGTTTTTCTTTCTGCCAGGAATCTGTAGCTCCCACCCACCACTCTTTTTAGTTTGACTAACCTCCTCAGCCCTCAGAATTCAGCTCAGGATAAAAAAAGAAAGCAGCTCAGAAGTCAACCTTCAGGAAACAGCTCTCCACTCTTTTAGTCTGGATTAGGTGCCCATCTTGGGTGCTGTCATTGCACCCCCTCTTCCCTCTTCTTGTTCCTCATGCAGTCTGGCATCTGTTTATTCACATCTGTCTTCCCAGCAGTCCGCGAGAGCTGGATGGCAAGGACTGTGTCCTCAGCCCAGGGCCTTGCTTTAGTAGGCACTCGGTAGGTGTCGACTGAATGGATGGTTGGTGCTCAATAAGTCTTTGTTGAATGAATGGTCTTCCTTGAAAGAGCTTTTTTCAGCTCCTTCACTTTCCACCATTCTGTCCTGTTTATGTAATTGAAAGAAAGCCAGTTGGTCAGTAGGTCAAGAAGCTGTCACCCCCAAAAGCAAGAATTTTAAAGAAAAAAGCATGACAGTTTCATAAAAATCTATGGTGCTCTACTTGCGGTGGAACACAAACAGTTTTACATTGTGGTTGGTATTAGAAAGTCAGGAAAAAGAAATTGGACTGAAATGGGAACGTGGAAAAGAAACACTATATTTTTCTCCAGCAGCATATGGATTTCTCATTAGTCTGTGTAAGGGAAAACCGGGGGCGGGAAGAGCTCAACCACGGCAGCTGTCCACACTCTCCCCTCATCATTCTGCTGCCACCACACCTGGTCCCCTGAGACGCCCTCACTTCTTAGCTATTTTGGCTTAGGTATGGACAAATCTTCTTGGTTCAGCAGAGACTAGCCTGGAATTTTTCAAAAGAAGCTTTGCTAGGAAACTAGTGGGAAAAACAAAACAAAAGTAAAAACAGGAAATAGAATATAGAAATGATAAAAATACACAGTGCAAAAGACAAAAAAATCCCTTAGCCCAAGATAACTAAAGTCTGGTGTTAGTATAACTTGACTCAATTTATCAGACACATGTTTTCTCTACTTTTTTATTTGATTTTGCCATGATATTGACTCCCTCTGGGGAACTTGTCCTGAAGTTTCCCTTTTCAGTCTTTGTATATTTCTTTGCTTACTTAAAAATCTCCGTTTTCATCTAGGGGAGGAGTTGGAATTAGTGTTATAGTCACTGTCTCTTACAGACAATGGGACCTTGTGGAGAAATGAGCTTTCCAGTCTTTGTCTACAGATAAAATAGCTCAGTGGTTTCAAACACAGTCTGGGCGCTCATGCTGTGTGTTCGTGATAAAGATTTTACTTGCTTGGGGTGAAGTGAAAAGCATGGACAATGCCATGAGGTATTTTAATGACACTATAGGACTGATGTTTTTACTCTGGGAGCTTTTTTCTTCTCCTTTAGATATTAAAATAGTCAGTGGTAGTTGTGAGGTTTGGCTTTTATTTATTTGTTTTTTATGTCCTTACTTGGCAAAATTAAAAGCTGATAAATGTCTGTGGGTGTGTGCAACCAGTTTTTATAAATTCTGTCTGGTCTCTGAAATCCAAAACTCTGGCCAACATATATTTTGTATGACATTGAAGTGTGCTGTGTTGTTTTTACAATTTATGTGACACTTGAGCAGGTTTTCTTTTTTTTTTTTTTTTTCAGTTTTTGGCCGGGGCTGGGTTTGAACCTGCCACCTCTGGCATATAGGGCTGGCGCCCTACTCCTTTGAGCCACAGGCGCCGCCCTTGAGCAGGTATTTTTATATGTAAATTATTTACTTTGCCATCCTCCCAACAGAACACCCTGCAATTAACTGTGTTTTCAAAGACAAATGATGCCGTTTTTCTAAGTTTGATATTCTCATCTACAAAGAGAACTGGATAGTTGCTATAATACAATCCTCATTCTAGATATTTATTTACTGAATATCAATAAATATACCTACTATGTACTAGGTCCTGGGTGAATACAAATCTGAGTAAGTCATTATCCCTGCCTTCAAGGAAATCCTAGACTAGGGAAGAAGATCAGGCGTAAATAGTGGGACAAGGTGTGGGTACTCTGGGAGCCAAGAAGAAAGTGCCTAATTCCACCTTGGACAACTTTGCTGAGGAAATACATTTTGCCCAAGGACAAACCGTGGAAAGGCATTCTGGGCAGACATGTTAAGCCTGGTGCCTGGATGAGTGTGGCACGTGAGGGAGATGTTCCTGACAATTTGAGCCTGAGAGCATGTGGGAGGGTAGTAGAAGGTGAAGCTGGAAAGTTATTACCCAGTTTTAATTTCATATCTTACAGCTACCTGTTACTGAGCATAGAATTTTCATACCTACAGGCCAGAAAAAGTTCTGAGCAAGAAAGCAAAAATTTTTTCCAATGGTAAGATAGGATTTATTACAAAGGAATCAAGAAAGCAAAATTTTATAATGTTTTTATTCACTAGCCTTCCCTCCCTTAATAGTTTTCACAATTGCGACTGGAATTTAATGTGAGTTAGTGTCTTATACTTGGATCCAATGAGTTAACTACCAGGGTACAGCACAAGAGAGACCTGATAAAAGCATTCTTGCTTACTAACCTTAACCCCCAGCCTGAGATGAGTCTCAGCTGTCATGAGAGCAGGTGCCACGTAGTGCCATCTGTGGGGCCATAGGGACAGCAATAGGACCCCCCCCCCCGGGTCTGGACCTGACTACATAAGGGCCACTGCTCAGGTCTAGATCCTGCCCACCACTTTTTAGGGGAAATGTAGATAAAATCTAGATGGTGTTTAAGGAGATGGCCTAGAAACTATCACAGAGCAAAATTAAAAGAAGACGGATAGGATAACTGCCTTTTATTTAATTTATTTTTTGAGACAGAATCTTGCTATGTTGCCCTCAGTAGAGTGATACAGCGTCACAGCTCACAGCAACCTCTAACTCTTGGGCTTAAGTGATTCTCTTGCCTCAGCCTCCCAAGTAGCTGGGGCTACAGGTGCCCACCACAACACCTGGCTATGTTTTGGTTGTAGTTGTCGTTGTTTAGCAGGCCCAGGCAGGGTTCAAACTGGCCAGCTCCTTTGTATGTGGCTCATGCCCTAGCCACTGAGCTACAGGGACTGAGCCGGTTTTAGTTTATTTTTAAAAAGTTCTTGAGGCAAGGTGAATGACATAATGAGTCACAGTTGTGGCCCGAATGGAAATTGGAGGGATTTTGATTTTGGCTCAGTGTAAGAAATAATTTTGTAAGAGGTTTTTTTTTTTTTTCCTATCACATAGCATCTTGAGATTATTTTGATGAAATATAGAAGTGTTTTGACAGAAACCAGATAACTACCTTCAATTGTGGAGATGCTGTAGAGAAAAGAATCCTATAGCAAAGGACAGTTGGACCTCTAGAGCCTCTTCCATTTTTAAATTCTATGAAATTTTAGTATTTGTTTCATTTTTTAAGTATCTGGGTTTTCTTGACTTTTCCACCTTTATCTGTACGTTAATCCAACTGCTTGTGAATTTTCTTATTTATAGTATTTGACCAAAAGGATACCTCAGAATCCAAGATATCAGCATGTCAAATCAAGACTGGACACTGGTGAGTAAAGCTTAGAAAATTAGAACTTAAAAAAAAAAATACAATTGTCAAGAAGCAGCCTATCATTCCTGGTATAAATCATAGTTTAACATTTCTCACTGTCTTGGCTAATGTCCTGGACTCAGGATTTATCTTTGAAAGCTGTTTTTCACATTATCAGTAAAAATTTGTGGTCATATAATTTAGCTTCTTATTCCTTAGCACATAAGAAATAACATAAACCGAGAAAATGAAATTTCAGAAAACAAAACCATTGTTTAATAAGTTGCAGGGCTGAAACTAAGTAAATATCAGGAGGCCAATTTCTATTTAGGAATATGTTAAGTATATTCCTTTAAACTGGCAGAATAGATTATACATGCGTGTGTTTGTTCAGTGTTTGCAGAGTGCTGACCACATGCAAACTCATGGACCAGGAGAGACAGAAAGATGAGAGTGAATTGTTTTTTCATTCAAAGAGCTTAGTTTCAGGTTGAGGCAGACAGACTAGAATTGGTAAAGTACCAGACATAATTTAATCAGTGCTGTAGTGCAGGTAAAATGAACTATTCATCCCATGCTCTTCCCATTTTTCAGTGTCATGGTAAAGACTGCTGCCCAGACCCTAGTGGATTTGCAGTTTTGTCAGGTTATGATTGTTTATTTGTTTATTTTTATATTCGACCTTTTTAAGTCCTGCTGTGGAAATCCATCTGATTAAGATGGTTTTGCTAGTGGATTGGAGCACTGTGTGCCTTTAGCAGTAATACAGAATTTTCCATCAGTAGCCTCAAGACAACTGAGAAAAGTAAACTGTGATATTGACTTTGCTTTGGTGTTGACTTTGAAATCATCTTATTTATTTTGTGTTTCTCTTTTTCTAGGCTCCCTCAAAATCATTATCTTCCATTATGCATGTTTACTCATATAAAATAGACTTAAATGTTTTATTTAAATCCACCATATTTGCAGATACTATTTCTTGGTACTCTTCTTTCAAACATTTCCATGCCATACAGATATTTATCCTTGCAAATATCCTGTTTGATGGGCAGGTGGAAAATATTATCTCTGTTTTAGAAGAGGAGGAAATTGTGGCACAGAGATTTTGTGATTTATTCAGAGTTCAATAAAGAAGCTAGAACTAGGATTGTATGTGGGATGAGAAAATGAATAGGGGAGCTCTGCTGCCAGGCCTGTTGTACCGTTTCTTAGGCCACACTGTCCCTGTGTCTCCCTCAGTCTCACTTCTTGTGCCTCTACCCTTGACTCCTCCATTTCTACCCATCTTCCCTTAATTGAAACTGTGATCCATCCTTCTGAAGTAAGGAGTTCTGTGAAATAAGCACCTAGATTTAAAATGCCATATTTTTTTCTGAGGAGTCAAGATAAAAAAAAATTTTTTTTTTTGGAGACAGAGTCTTACTATGTCGCCCTGGCTAGAATGCCCTAGTGTCATAACTCACAGCAACCTCCAACTCCTGGGCTCAAGCGATTCTCTTGCCTCAGCCTCCCAAGTAGCTAGGACTACAGGCACCCAACACAACCCTCAGCTTGTTTTTAGAGATGGGGTCTCACTCTTGCTCAGGCTGGTCTCGAACTCCTGACCTCCAGCAATCCACCCATCTCACCCTCCCAAAGTGCTAGGATTACAGGCGCGAGACACCATGCCTGGCCAGATATGATTTTATTTATTTTTTTTTTTGAGACAGAGCCTCAAGCAGTCCCCCTGGGTAGAGTGCTGTGGCTTCACAGCTCACAGCAACCTCCAACTCCTGGGCTCAAGCGAGTCTCCTGCCTCAGCCTCCCAAGTAGCTGGGACCACAGGTGCCCGCCACAACGCCTGGCTATTGTTTGGTTGCAGCCGTCATTGTTGTTTGGTGGGCCTGGGCTGGATTCAAACCCGCCACCTTAGATGTTCGGGTAAAGTACCAGGTAGCTGGCATTTTAGCCACTTGAGCCACAGGTGCTAAGCCCCAAGATATGATTTTAAAGACTACTATAAAGGAATGAATTTCTTTTTTCTTTCTTTCTTTTTTTTTTTTTTTTTGCAGTTTTGGCTGGGGCTGGGTTTGAACCTGCCACCCCCAGTATATGGGGCTGGTGCCCTACTCCTTGAGCCACAGGTGCTGCCTCAGAGGAATGAATTTCTTTTGGAACCTTCATATCTTCTTAAAATTAAAAATTTTAAAAGCTGAGGTTTATTCTACATATATAAATTTGCCTGTGCCCTCACAGTTGTTTTTATTTCTCCTAGAGTCAAATGGGGTGTATGGGTTTATGAATATTAACCCCTTTCTTTCTCTTGAATTCCTCAATTCTAAACCAAAACATGACTTCATAATGCCCAGGCTAGAGTACAGAGACATCATCATAGCTTACTGTAGCCATGAACTTCTGGGCACAAGAGATCCTCCTGCCTCAACTTCCCAAGTAGCTGGGACTACCAGCACACACCACCATACTGGGCTAATTTTTAAATTTTTTGTAGAGATGGATCTTGCTGTGTTGCTCAGGCTGGTCTCCAACTCCCAAGCTCAAGTGACCTTGCCTGGGCTCCCAAAGTGCTAGAGTTTGGCACAAGTATGAGCCACCTCACCTAACCTAATATCTTGCTTTTTATAAGGCATATTAAATGCATACAAGCTTTTATAACCTGAGGTATGAGTTATAGTAGCCTAATCATAGTTTGTTGTGACCTTGAACTCCTGGGCTCAAGCAATCCCCTCACCTTGGCCTTCCGAAGTATTGAGACAGGTGTCAGTCACTGCACCTGGCCAACTAGTTTTTATGTTGATTAAACTTTTCGTTTTGAGATCAGTGTAGATTCACATGCATTTTGTAAAAAATAATGCTAAAAGATTTCATGTGCCCTTTATAAACCCAGTTTTGCAAAACTATAATGTGCCATCACAACCATGATACTGATATGGATACATACAGTTGAGATCTGGAATGTTTCCATCACCACAAGGATTCTTCATGTTTACTCTTTATAGCCATGTCCACTTTCCACTGCCACCCTTCCTTAACTCCTGGCAACTCCTATTCTGGTCTCAATTTCTGTAATTTTACAAATGCTATATAAATGGAAGCATACAGTATGCAGCCTTTTGGATTGGCTTTTTTCAGTTAGCATAATTCTCTGGATATTCATCCAGGTTTTTGCTTGATGTCAGTAGTCTGTTCCTTTTTTATTAATGGCTAGTATTCCATGGTATGGATGTACTTTAGTTTAACCATTTCTGTGTTGAAGGACATCTGGGTTGTTTCCACATTTGGCTACTACAAGAAAAGGTGCTGTAAACATTCATGTTACATATTTTTGTGTGAATGTAAGTCTTCCTTTCTCTGGGATAAGTGCCTACAATTGCTGATCGTAAGGTAGTATAATTTTTTAAAGAAATGCCTGTTTTTCTTTTTCTTTTTCTTTTCTTTTTTTCTTTTTTCTTTTTTTTTTTTTTTAAGATAGAGTGTCAAGCTGTCCCCCTGGGTAGAGTGTTGTGGCATCAGAGCTCACAGCAACTTCCAACTCCTGGGCTCAAGCAAGTCTCCTGCCTCAGCCTCCCAAGTAGCTGGGACCACAGGCGCCCGCCACAACGCCCAGCTATTTTTTGGTTGCAGCCATCATTGTTGTTTGGCGGGCCCGGCGTGGATTCGAACCCGCCACCTTAGGTGTATGTGGCTGGCACCTTAACCACTTGAACCACAGGTGCCAAACTGAAATGCCTGTTTTTCAGAGTGTCTGTTATCATTTTACATTCCTGTAGGAATGGATGAGTGATTCCATTTTCTCCATATCCATTTGGTATTGTCACTATTTTTTAACTTTAGCCAGTCTGATAGGCATGCGGTGGTAAACCATTGTAGTTTTAATTTGTGTTTCCTTAATGGCTAATGATGAACATCTTTTTATGTGTTTATTCACTTTCTGTGTATCTTCAGTGAAACATCTGTTCATATTTTTTGCCTATGTTCACAGTGGATTGTTTGCTTTTTTACTGTTGAATTTTAAGAGTCCCTTATATATTTTAGCTTCTAGTCCTTTGTCAGATAGGTAGCTTGCAAATATTTTTTCCCGGTCTATAACTTGTCTTTTCCTTCTCCTAACAGGGTCTTTCAAAGTACAAAAGGTTTTAATTTTGATGAGGTTTACTATATCAGTTTTTCCTTTTATGGATCTTGACTTTATTGTCAAGTCTAAGAACTCTTTGCCTAGCCTAGATTCCAATGATTGTTTCTATCATTATTTTTTTTAAGTTTTGTAGTTTTAGGTTTTATATTTAAGTACAAAAGTGATATATTTTGGGTAATTTTTATGTAAGATTTGTGACTTAGATTAACTTTTGCTTATGGACATTGAATTGGGGTAGCAGTATTTGTTTAAAAGGTTTGCCTTTACTCCATTGAGTTGCACGTTCATTTTTGACAAAGGTCAGGTGGGCATGTTTCCAGGGGTCTGTTTCTGGGTTTTTTATTAGGATCCCTTGATCTACATGTCTATCCCTTCACCAGTACCATACAGTCTTGAATTCTGTAGCATATAGTAAATTGGGCCCTCAAAATTGGTTAGGCTGATTATTCCCACTTTATTTTTCTTTACAAACTTATTTTAGTTATTCCTTTGCATTTCCATATAAATTTTAGAATAATATTATTTATATTTATCAAAAATGCTGTAATTTTAATAGGAGTTGCATTAAGCCTGTTTACCTTTGGGAAGAATTGACATCTTTATTGTGGGAAGTAACCACTCATCTACTTTCTGCGTCTGTAGACTTGCCTGTTCTGAGCTTTTCATATAAATGGACTCACACAGTACGTCTCTGTTTCTGTCTGGCTCCTTTCCCTTAGTGGAATGTTTTCAAGATTCATCTACGTTGTAGTGCGTGTCAGTACTTCATTCCTTTTTATTGCCAAAGAATATTCTATTGTATAGCCATTCCTCGTTTTGTTTATTCACTCATCAGTTGATAGACATTTGGATTATTTATATTTTCTGGCCGCAGTGTGCTATGAAT